TATTATTAGTTACATTTAACAGATCATAAGTTTCAGTGCAACAGACGCTTGGATAAAAACATTCTCTTCCTGTATATTTGCTGCAACATTATATGCTGGAAACTGGTTTTTCCCACTTTCTCCTTCACTGTCAACAAAGAAATTTCATCACTGTGGGAATTTGACACAGTTTAGGTTTGTGTGTAACTCTTTTTTTCTTTAATATTCACAGAGGTGCCTCAGCAGCGAACAAGCAGCTATCATCTTATTCCCCCCAACAGTAAGTTAATCGTGACTCAAATATAAACTGTTTGGCCAAAAAAGTCACACTGTAATATTTCTTTGGACTAACTTTGATATGGTACATATTCATTGTGATATTATTTCTATTTCTATAACCTTATGCAGCATCACAGTATATAATAATGTATACTTTATTGAGCCCCGTGGGGAAATTACTTTTTTTTTTTCTCTGTATTTGATCCATTCACTCAGTGAAGCAGTGGGCAGCCACTAAGCAGGCGCCCAGGGAGCTGTGTGTAGGGACAGTACCTTGCTCAAGGGTGCCTCAGTGGATTCAAACCCCAGCCTTCCGATCATGGGGCGACCCCTCTACCTACTGAGCTATCCCTGCCTCAGTTGTGCATCTCGCTGATGGGAAAGTCTAACAGCACCTCCCAAAGATTCTGTGTGTGGTTAATGTCTAGACTCTGGGGCCAATCCATGTGTGAAAATGTTTCATGATCCCTGATTTCACAATCTGAGTCAGAAAATATCCACTGATGGAAAAAAGTTGACAATCCAGTATATTCAGTCAACCGTCATCTTTGTTTTGGATGACATAACACGACAGAATCTCAGGCACTGGTTTGGCTTTGAGGGCAACCATGTACCAAACGGCTGAGAGCAGCCGGTCTGGGTTCTAGTCCAACCCGTGGCCCTTTACCGCATGTCTGCCCCTCTGTCTCTGTCCCTGCTTTCCTGTCCTTTCTTCATTGCAAAATAAAGCTGAAAAAGGCCAAAAAAAACTATTATTAAAAAAAAAACAGCACTACAGAACCTGGACCTGACCAACTGGAGCAACTCCAGGTCACAACCTGATAACTAGACATGATGCATTTGCAATTTCCTGCATATTTTATGGGTTTTATGGTTTTTCTGGAGAAGATTCCTCAAAATACTTATCATATGTTTCCTCTCCGATGATCAGCAAACATGATTTTAAGACAATAAACATCTTAGAGTGACCCTGGCTCTGTTTTTGTTGACTCCCTGTTGTCGTTGTGTTTTGATGCCAGTGTCTGAGCTGAGGGTTGTCCTGCTGGGGAACAGCTGGTCTCAGAGGAGAGACGTGGGGAACTTCATACTGGGAGGGGCCGTGTTCAGCACTGAGGAACCAGACTGCTGTGTGAGGGTCAGCGGGCGGTGCAGGTGGAAAGAAATCGTTCTGATCAACACTCCAGATCTGCTGCATCCAAACATCTCTGAGGACAAACTGACAGAGTTGATAGAAACCTGTGTGAGGCTCTCTGATCCTGGACCTCACGTGTTCCTGCTGGTTCTACAGCCTGAAGACTTCACTGAGGAGCAAAGACTGAGGCTGCAAACAGTCCTGGAAGACTTTGGTGATCAGTCATTTGAACACTCGTTGATATTGATATCAACACCCACAGAGGAACAATTAGCTTACACAGAAAATTACAAGCAGCATCCAGTATTGAAGCACCTGGTCACCATGTGCAGATACAGATATTTAAAACAGAAAGATCTTGAACTTCAGGAACTGTTGACACGCTTCAGTCAGATTGTGAGAGAGAACAAGGAAAAGCATGTGAGCTGTGATTTATCTGAAACTGGAGCAGATGGTTCTCATCAAACCCTGAAACATCAGCTGTCAGTGCCTGCAAACATGGATCCTGCTCGAGCTGCTGGTGAGTTCAGGAAAACATTTTATTACTTTTAAATGTTTGTTGGGTCTCTCTGTACTCTGAGCTCTTCTGCTGGCAGGAGAAAAGGACAAAATATAAATAAGTTCAGTAAGTCCCATATTTAAAACCACTATAGAAATAAAAATAAATTAATTAATAACAACTAGGGACACAATGCCATGAAATCGGTACTTTTTAACGTGAAACTTTTAGTCACAGAAATGAAGAAAATGCCTCAACGTTCATGGTGGATTGAGCAAATGTGAGAAATTGTACCACACAGACAAATATCAGCATATTTTCCCATCCAATAGGAACAAAATACTGGAGTTTCCAGATATTAGTCTAATAATTCAAACAGATTATGTTGTTTTTCTTGGGGAGGGGCGCTATGGTGGTGGACTGGTGGGCACAGCTGACTGGGTGAGGGACAAACTGAAAATGTCTGTAAACACCTCAGTGAGCTCTGAAGAGCAGACCCTAAAAGCACGGCCAGGGATGTTGTCAGGGACAGCTGCTTCTCGGGGTCAGTCCTCCTCAGAACCTTCCACACCTCAGTTGAAGCCACAGTGAGTGAAGAGCTCCGTGCTGCCTCTGCTGGTAGAATCCCTCTGAGTTGGTTGGTGTTGAGGTGTAGAACTTATTCAGCTCATCTGGTAGCGTGTTGGAGCTGACTGTGACCCTGCTGCTCCTCTGCTGGAAATCAGTAATTTGTTGAAGGCCCTGCCGCATGTGTCGGAAATCTGAGCTGTTGTAGTGTCCTTCCAGCTTCGGTCTGTATTGCCTCTTGGCTTCCCTGATGGATCTACGCAGGTCTTATTTGGCCTTTTTGTCCCCCACAGCGTCACCAGAGGCAAATGCAGTGGAGCGTGCATGTAGCATGGAAGGTACCTCAGAGTCAACCATGGTTTCTGATTTGGATATGTTTGTAGTGCTCGGTGGGGACAATATCAGTGCATGTGCTGATTTAGCTGGTAACCACTGATGCATATTCCTCTAAATTCACAGAACTCTCCTCTCTTACGCCAGCAGTCTTAAACACACCCCAGTTTGTAACATCAAAGCAGTCCTGAAGCACCAAATCAGATCTCTTTGCTCCAAACTTTAGTAATTTTAGC